ATAACATTACCCAAGTTCGGACGAAGACCACACTCGATTTCCGTAACAATTTTTCCCGTGTACGGTATACCTACTGCTTTCCGTTTTCGCCTTCGAACATATATCAAAATAGGTATACGGCGGTGGCGATGACTGCCTTCGTCCTTACAACGACAATACGACATATATCATTATTATCGTCGTCATCATTATTATATTATAAGACTGATCGCATTTTATACCAAATTCAGAAAAGAAAGTTATACATACACGTGGAGTACAACGTACGTGGTGGTCCGACGTGAGCCGGGTACGTGATCGCGAAAAAAAATACGAAAACCGAACGTCGTCGCGTCTTCCAGTTTTCATAAGGTATTGTTATAATATATTATTATTGTTGAGGTCAGAAAACGAGTGGATTTCGACACTCGTCCGGTCGCGGAGTGTGACGAAAACCGAAATCGCTCATTGCGAGGATTTAAGAGCATAAATATACCTACCGACTATTATAATACTGACCTAATATCTAGGATATCAAAATACCGATGGTTAGGTTCTCACCGATATCGACTGCGTTATCTGTACAGCAGCGAGTAAACGACTACAACGGTCGCAGACTTATAATAACAAACCGTTCTAGTTCCCAATATAATATAAGCGCGATATGAGCGAATATAAAGAACAATGATCGCGGTCTCGTATATAATATATAGGTATAATAGTAATATAATAACGAGATATAACATAATCGTCGCGGTTGTGTTATTACGTAACAGCGGCGAGAAAAAAAATCCGTCGGCAGTTTATTATATTATCATTATTATATATCATACACATAGGTATATAATATTATATTATATCGGTACAGTATCGAGGGAATACAACAGATGTAATAATTATTATTGCGCGAGTAACGATCGCCGCCGCGCGTATAAATACGGTGTTCATCATCTCGTAAAGTACATTATGTTGTTGTGTCGTATACCTATAGGTATAATATATAAATGTAAACTATATATATATTATATTGTGTATAATGCGATCGTATTATTGCGCTACGCGACCAGTAAAATAATAACGGACTCAGAGCACGTGCGCGACGGTGTACGATAGGCAATAATAATAGTAATAATTGTCCGACAACAATGCCGCTCGTATATTACACGGACGACCGGACAACAGCAGCACCTGCAGAACAGCTGTTGTGCAAGTGCAGTGCGAGTCCGACCGATTATTATATGGGTATTTTTTTTTCTTCCTTTCGATTTTCGGTCTTTGCTCATCGTATTATTATCATATTTTGTTACTTTACCGTATACTTTATATACGTCATTGTACTGGAGCTGAGTGGAAATAGCCGTCTACTGTATACCGCGGACGACTCGTAAATGAAAATAATTCGAATTTGCGTCGAAAGGGCGAAATTTTTGATCGATTTTCTGGACATTTTTAACGCGTTTACGATAGCAGCTTTTACGTTTCATATATACTATAATATCCACTACATATTTACATTTTTTAACGTAGGTATAATACTATGCATCTTCAAACCATCAATGAACCGACTTCAAATCACAAAAAATTGGGATTTGCAAACTACCTATGTATAATATACAACCCTAATCCAAAATATATATAATATCATTCGACATGTTACTCGAGATATTACGATATGAACATTATTTCCATGAAGACACTGATTTCCACCATATTGTTCTACGGAAAATGACAGTTCAAATGTGCAATAATAAATTATTATTTTTGTACTTTCGCTATAATGTTATGGTAAAATATGACGTCCTATTGTGCACTGATTCTGTACCTAAATATACTTAAAGTTCATCGGAAAGTTTCAGGATTTTTAATTTATCTAGTTTTCAGTATTTACTGATATATTGTGACGTCCTGTACCATACTATAAGTAATATAATATCACTTCGCTTATTTCACTTTATTCGTCTCACCCACACATGACAACGAGTGTTTTTTTTTATCTGCACCACGTCATATTATTATGTGCAACCGCACATTTCTGATCGATTATTATTCAGTAGTAAATCGTGGGTCGAGTATAATTAATAATTATATATATATGTATATATACATATATCATTAGAATTTATAAACGAGCATGGAATGATTATATAACGATATAACGAGAATTTCGTCGGATTACATAGATAATACATTAATACTTTGCGATGTAAGTAGGTGGTATCTATAATAATATACGATAGGTGCCTGTATTTGTTTTTACGATGTATATTTTGAACGTAACGCTCGTTCGGCCATGTATAATATATATTATGCATTTAAGATCGATAGTAATGAACATAAAAATATAGTCGATGGAAAACAATATTATAATTTACACTTAGTGCTATTCGACGGTTTCTTCTGTTCTATAATACAACAGTGGCAGTCGGTCAGAGTTCGGCTGACTCGACTATTTAATTATCCCGGGACGTATTACCTATGCCATTAAACCGTGTCGTCATCTGACGACATGTTAATCGTCATAGGTATAAATATACATACCTGTTTTTTTTTCTGCAGAGTATCGATCTCTAGAAACAAGAGTAACACAAAGTAGTAAAAAATATTTTATTCGCACACACCTTCGTCAAGTATATAATAGATACCTAATACACAGGAGATAAACCCTGCTACCAGTTTGATTTAAGTCGGGACAAACGGTCACGATGGTCAAAAAATTAACAATTTTTTTTTAAACTCGACGTATATGGTAACAATAAATTATATCGTACGAGTATATTACACATTTACGAACAGGACGTAATGGCGTAGGTATATTTTATTAACTCTGTTGAGTGTAATAATTTTGGGTAGGCACTAAAATGTTATCAAATGTTCCAGATAAAATCTTTACGGACACAGCAATTATGTATGTGTGCCATCTACTCTAATCAATATATTATTATTATTATGTGCCTGCATGTACACCATGGCCTAAAGATATAATATTACGCGTGGTAAGCGTTTTGCCATTTACGAGTGTTTCCACCTCGAAAAATCAAATAACACTTCACATCGCTGTGATTTTGTGATTTCATACTCGAAACGCGCCATATTATTTATATATAATATTACCGTCTGCTAGCCGCACGTGCATCGTCCGGGTGTGATTTCCAATCGCGTCACGACAATCGTCGGACAATTACTATAATATTATTATTATTATAAAAACGTTCGTACGACAAATAAATAATGTATATTATATTATTATGTATACGAATATATACTGCGGTGTGCGGAGGTCGTGTGGTCTGATTTAACGAGACGTAGATCGATCGATCGATCGACTTGTTGCAGATCTCGTCCCGACCGACTGCTGCAGGGGAACGATTCCGGATTCGCGGAGTCACCGCGGTCTAGTTTTCGTCGGGATTCGCCAAAAAACGCCCGTGTACAATGTACCTACTACCTACCTACTGTAATAATAAAATATACTGGTTACGTGAGCGGCGGGTACTTGGGATTTTGTCGTGGATTATATTATTATTACTATTATATATAAAAAGGTTTATTTATTTTTTTATCGGCCGAAACCGATTTGGAAATGCGATAAACGGGTTTCGTCGCGGGGCGCTCGTTAGCGAAAAGTCCGCGCGGTGGACGACGTGAAAAAAATAAAAACGCCAAAACGAAAATTGCGATCCGCATTCAGACGGGGAAAAAAAATAACAAATAACGTTACATAATTGGAAGTTTCTTCCACAATAATAATATAATGTATAATAATACATTATATATATATATATAATACACGCGAAGAGAAAATCGGAGCGACGACGAGTAGTTATTTTTTTATTTTTTTTATTCTTCTCCTCCGTCTTCGTCCCCGTCAAACTTGGCGAATTTAATAATATCAAGCAGCACATGTACCTACCTCTGTTATAGTACATACCATATGTACCTCTACACGACGACGACAACTACGACTACTGCTGAGACGACGTATGTGTACTTTCAAACACGACATGTGATAATTCTCGGACGGGCTACCGGGTTTACACGGACCAAATTTTTGCGCCGCTCCTCGTTAAAATTGCAGTCGGTCTCGTCGTCTGTCGCCGTCGTCGTATAGTCCGTCCAGACGGCAATTATAGACGCGTTTCTGACATTTGAGCGTGTGTGTGTGTTAGAGAGCGTAAGTGCACCGGTGCATCGGGCGGCCACATTGCGTCACGTTGTGAGTGGAGAATTTATTAAACCGTTTTATACTGTACGTCCACACACATAATGTGGCACCCCCTTCGATCATCCCCCTACCCCCTGAGTTCATGGATTTGCCAATCGGATTGACGAAACGAATACAGGGACTGAAAAAAAGTATCAACTTTTTGACTGATCGATGTCCCCCACGCGACAGATGACGACGCGATGACGGTAATATTATGACACGTCACTTTCGGCGCATCTGTCTATATATTAGTCAAATCGATGATGTTCCATATAGTGCTTTATGATTTATGTTTATTCCAATCACGCTATTTCATAGAGCAGCGACGTTAAATCACTTGACTATTAGAAACAAAACTTATTAGTAGTTATTACATTTCAAACAAATATTGATCACCAAACTGTATTATTTAATAACTATATATACATATCTCTTATAGTATATTATAGGGCCTATATTATGTATTCGTATACTTTAACCGTGCTAATGTGACTCATATATGCTAAAACATTGATAATAATATTATTTAAGGTACCTATATAAAGTAAAATACTAAACAGCGGTGAATTGCTTAGTTTTCAATAATTTGATACTATAATAATATATGAAACAATTTACTAGGTATCTTAAAATTTCGAACTAGATATTTCCCACTGTTGGCCTACAGACATTAAACGCACTAAACACAATAATATTAATATAATTTGTGTATTTTAAAATTTCACAGCGTATATTATTCTGTATAATATTATCCCTACATGTGACACGTAATATAAATTTTCTTTTTGATGTTTTCGCAGACGGCGTGGCCAAAGTGATGAGCGTGGTGGACACGTCTCCTCCGGCGTGGTACACCTACTACCCACGACCCGTGGTCCCATCAGTAGCGCATCCGCGGGACCCGTCCAGCATGCGCGAGAAGCACTCGAGCCCACGCAAGATGGTCGCCGTTCCCGCAGTGGTTCCGTGCGTGTCGCCCAAACAGGGTTCCGTGTACCCGGCTCACCACCATCACCATAATCACCGCCGGCACCACGACCAGCCGGACCACCGTCATCACCGTGACGACGACGGCTCCGCCGCTGACAATGACGAGGACGAGGACGACGAAGACATGATGCCGTTTGACTTATCGCGCAACGGCGGCAGCTCGCCGTCATCATCACCAAGGTCGCCGCTCCGGTCACACCGCATGTCGCCCGCCGCGTTCAAACCATACGACGGCAGTGGCGCCGGCGTCAACAACGACCAACCACTTGACCTGCGAGTCGAATACAAGAAGTCACGCCGCGGTGACGAAATGGAAGACGAGAACCAGAACCTGATCATCAGGACGCCGTCCCCGGAGGACATTGAAGTCGACAGCCCAGGACCACCGTCCGCTGGCCTGCAGCGTTACGCGCCTCACCACGTCGACCACAACGACCGTGGTGCCGTAGTCCACAGCCCTAGTTCGTCGTCCGACAAGGAAGTTAACGTGACCGACGACCACCATCATCACCACCAACACTACCAACCACCCCAACACCATCAGAACCAGAACCAGCTGCAGCAGCACCAACAGCAACAGCACCTACAGCAGCAGCAGCAACAACAACAACAGCAGCAACAGCAACAGCAACATCACCGGCGTGGTGGCATAACCGTCGAAGATGAACGGCATCATCACCAGCGGATGGTAAACTATCCGGTGCTGTTCCCGCCGCAGCCACTTCACCCTATGATGTTAGAAGCTATATACAGGGCAGGTGCTGTGGGTGACAAGTCCCGCATGCCTTCGTCGCTGGCTGGTTACCAAACGGGTGGTGGTTACCACAGGCCGTCGCAGCATTATCCGTTCATCAACTCACCACTGCTCAACGGGCACCATCATGTGCCGCCGCCCACCTACGACGTTGTCCGACAGCCACCGCCGCCTCCGCTGCCACCACCAGTAGCCAGATCTCCGCAGCAGAAGTCGTCAGCGTTCCAGGAGACGTCTGGAAAACCGAAAGACAGGTAGGTCGATGATGACAATATTAAATGAAACAACAACAAACGTATTACACACATTTCGAGTTAGGTCATGGCCCGTTAGGCTGCAGGGCCTAAGGTAAAGGGGGATTATCAGTCGTGCACACAGCCATCGTTTGACGGGGGAAAAGCGAGAGAGAAGATCGTGAACGTGCTGAAAAATTGGAACCAGGACGTGTTTCATGTGTAAGAGTGTGCAGGGGTCAGGAAAAGAAAAATATGGGTACTAAATGGTTACATATCCAACGGTCGCGGTGCTAGTGTTTTTTTTCTTCAAAAATATTCTTTTTGACTCACGATGATTTATTTCGATACATAAAAGATAAGTAAATACGGCTACATATTTCTGTGAGCTCAATCTTCTAATATTTTTTGGATTCCTTTATAATTAAATTGTACCTAGCTGTGCTCTATCGGGTAGCAGCAGGAAAAAAAAATATATTTTATACTAACAGCATTGTGTTTCCGTTCTGTGCAACAGGTACTCGTGCAAGTTTTGCCAGAAAGTGTTCCCTCGCAGCGCCAACCTGACCAGACACCTGCGGACGCACACGGGCGAACAGCCTTACAAGTGCAACTACTGCGAGCGGTCGTTCAGCATATCGTCCAACTTGCAGCGGCACGTGCGCAACATCCACAACAAGGAGAAGCCGTTCAAGTGTCCGCTGTGCGAGCGGTGCTTCGGGCAGCAGACCAACCTGGACCGGCACCTCAAGAAGCACGAGGCCGACGGGCCGACCATAATGGACGACCGGCTGTCCTCTTCAGCGGCGGTGGTTGCTGCGGCAGCCGCAGCGGCCGCGGCTGATCGGAGGCGCCCGTCCCGGGGCCCCGGTGCCGGCGACGAATCCTACTTCGAGGAGATCCGATCGTTCATGGGCAAGGTGAGTGAGGACGGTAGCAGGTTCGCCGCAGCAGCCGCAGCAGCAGCGGCGGCTGCGGCCATCGGTCATCGCCGTGGTGGACATGCTCATCTGGCCGGCGGGCGACGACAGTCGACGACGTCCGCCTCGTGCCCATACCGCCGCGGATCGGCGGGCGACGCACCTCCGGCCGAAAGGTTCTCGTCCCGGTCGTCTGCCTCGTCAGCAGGTTCCACGGAATCGTCTTCAGGCCCGGCCGACGCTTCCGCCGCCGCCGCAGCCGCCGAAAAGGAGTGCGTCAACAGCACCTGACCCTCCGCCTCTGCGGACACGGCCGCGACGTCTTCCCATCGCGATCGTCACACTGTCGCTGCTACCACGAACACGGTTACCGCCACCAGCCGCCGACGACGAGGCTGAGTCCGACGATGACGAAGACGACTCGTACAATATGCACCCCGCAGACACGATGGACGGATCTCCGCGGGTGAGTAAACGACCCCGCGAAGCAATTTTTTTTTACATGCGTTGTATCGTATCGTTTCATTTGGTTCTAAGCAATTTTTGACGAGGTAACAAATAATATTATATAATATACGAATTACATAATTTCTAATACAATATTTTTTAGTATTTTTAGTGTAACGAGTACATAGTTTTTAGTTGCGGATTGTATAATTATTATTTTTTTTTATATATATATGTATAGTTTATCATATTATTATTATCGCTTGTAAATATTTTATGTCGTAGAATCTACACAGGTTATTAAGATTTACATATATTATATTTTTGTAAACTCGCTCCTCCCCGCAACCGACTGCGATCGTTCTGTGATAATAACAGGTATATCGTCGCTATTAGCTCTTCGCATTCGATAGGCATGTAACATGTCAACTGCGACAGTTTTACTAGTTTTTGACAATATTATCAGCGGTACGTATACTTAACATGCCGAATCCATATAATAATATTATAATAATACGTATAATATGTTATTCTCGTTTGAATATGTTACGTTATATTTTTAGTTTCGATTTTGACCCACCGCGATCTACACTTTTTCGTTTTGATCGTAACAGAATTTACTAAAAGACTTACAATATATTCTATTATAAAATTAGTTTAAAAACTCTAATAGCAGTTTAATAATCTTATAAACTATAATGATAGTGTCGCACATCAATGGACAATAACCACGAGTGATTACATAGGTTCGATAGACATGTCCAATCGAGACAAACGTCGGGATTTCATCATTTTCGGCAATAGCTCGTGCCTGCAACAGGTGCCCCGCCACCGCACACCGAATTGTTTCCATCTCCTTGCGTTCACTAGAAAACCTTACGCGGAGAGTCGGTGACCGAAAAGTCAAACTGCACTTTACTCGCGTTCAACACTGAAATGTCCTCTAAAACAGCAGCACGCACGTAAATATGACACCGAAATACGTTTCGTAATACGATGACGATCACTGTACGACGACACGGGCCTTATAGTTATATACAGTTTTTACGTGCGTCTGTGCTTGCGGTCGGACGGGAAACGATGAAATATGCTTCCGAACACGGTCGATAGACAGGTGAACTGGGAGCGGGGGCGAAAAAAGTATCTCGAGAGATATCATGCTTACAGACTTGGTGGTGCGCTCGTGTCAAACGAATCGGACGACGACGGCTGTACAGGTATAGAGGTAGGTAGATAGGTAGGTAGGTATAGTATATTAGAAAACGGTTTCTCTATCGGCCAATAGTGCATTTCGCATTACCATAATATTTAAAACGCGTCGAGCAGGATGCTCTAGATTCAGCTGTTGTGTGTGTATGTGTCTGTGTGTGCAGGTTGAAAACCGGTCGATGAAATCGTAATATACGGTTTGTTTTTTTTTTTCACTCGTAACACACGCACGCACACACACTCGTACCCACTTGTGTGCGCGTATTATTTTTTTTAACTTCCAGTTCGATAATATACGGTTTTCTCGCTAACCGGTTCCCCTGTGCGACCGCCGCCGCTTCTGATGCTGCGCAGTGCGCGGACACGAAAAAGGAAAAAAAATTATCAATTATTATTATTATACGATTATAATATTGTGTAAACGTGTGTTTTGGTTATTATTATTTTGTTTGCTCTCAACGCCCGTGTTTACCGGCGGGCGCTTATAAAATCACGGTTATACTTAAATATTGTAAATAATAAAAAGTATTTTTTTTTTAATAAATACATATAGAGTGAACGTCAAAGTTCGTCTGGTAGTATAAAAGTATGTACATAATATAATTATATAATTATGTTAATTTTCTCGCTTTGGGGTGTTTCGGAGGTGTTTCTGTACGGAATACGGTTAAAAAATACAAAAATCCAAAAAAAAAAAACAAAAACTATTAATTCGATAAACGATTCGCGTCCACCTCAATGTTCTGTAATATTTCTTAAAATGTTATACTATTGATTATGATGAAAAAAAATAGATCGTATAATGTATATATTATATTATGTAGGTATCGTTGAACGAACGGCGACGACGGTAATAATTATAAATAGACGATTCGAATAGTAATAATTATAATAATATGTGTTCAGCATCCAACCAGCATATATCTATATTCTATATACGGTACACTAAGAATGCTTAATAAAATATCGCAAAGCTAGTCAAAAAGACGATACGTAAAATGAAATCTGTAAAAATAGAGAAAACGATATAAATAATCTTACTCAACAGATATAATAAAAATAATATAGGCAATGTGTTAGATTATAATATAAATATATAATATTCGTTTATAATACGTATACGATCGTTTTAATTTTAATAAATATATTTAATTTTTTGTTATACGCTTTAAAATATTATAGTATATACTATTATGTTTTGATTATTATATACTATTTTCTTAAACGGATCTAATAATATTAATAGTACACGATATGATAACGTTATATAATATTATTTAATAATATTGGATAAACTATAGGGTAAAATATATGTATTTTACTTTTTTTTTTGTTTTGAAGAGATTATATTTTATAGCATCTTGTGTGTAAGTTACCAATATAATTTTATGCGCCTTCGTAATACTGTTATCTATTATATTTTTTTTTTTTTTTGATTATATATTTTTTTTGTTAATTTTTAGTTTTTAATAATATTATTAAATTTTTAAGATTGTTATTTGAATTTATTGAAGAAAACAACTCAAATTTATATATTTTTATTAAGTGTTATGTTTAAATTTTTACTATTGTAGTTGTAATAAATACATACATAATAATATATATATATTATATATTATATGTGTGTGTGAGTGTGTGTTGAAAAATATACAAATATATATATATATATATATTATATACAATTTATTAAAATATAAATCAACTTTTTGTTTTTTTTTTTTCGTTCTTTCGGTACAATGCAGATATATTCTATACTGCGATCTCAAACACACACAACCAGTCGCGCTTTGTATACCGCCTGCAGATTACAGTTTGTCCAATATATCATATTCTTCTTATTATTTTTTTCTCAGTCTTTCTAGTTCAATGAATGGACGTAATGTGATGTTTTTATAATGCACTACCTGCAGTTGTTTTCACACGATTCAATACGATGTCGATGTCGGATGGTGACGAAAAAAAAGGGGAAAAAAAGAAAATAAATAGAAAAAACAGGTTGTCTTCTATTTATTTCAAATAAGTCCCGGTGGCGTAGAAAAAGAATTCATATGTAGAAAGAAAAAAAATACGCCTGTTGTACAACACCAACACTTTATGGAGACCCGAGTATAGGTAGTTAGGTACGCATACTCGGTATAAAGTTACGCGATCTAGTGTACATATACCACGACCATATAGCTGTGTCACACGCTCGTTTGTGACGATACAATAATATCATTAAACACTTGTGGTCCGACAATAAGTGAGTGAAATACCTCCATCACGTCCATGAGAGATCGATACGGGATTTGGCAATTTTATCGTTATTCTACGACACGTGTGCAACAGGTGGTCTCGACGGATTTGTTATAGTTAAGTACACACACACACACACACAACATAAACGCCAGACAACTGGGCTCGTAAAGTTAAATGAATGAACTTCCTTCCACCCCACCTAAATTTTAATATTATACAGTTCACTACTTCAGTGTTCTTACGCTAAATGGAATAAATAATAATTTTACTTTTAAAATATTTAGGTAGTTACCTTCATAAATTAACTCATCTGTTTGAGATAGGTCATGTGCCATTGTGCCCATATTTATTATATCATTATCAAGAAATGCCATGAATACAGAAGTTTTTATGTTTTAATATACATTTCTTTTTGGGCTGGGTACAACTATTTTTTTTAACCTATTTTCGTAAAGCTTTGTTTAGTATTGCCACTGAAACGCAAATCAACAATAATAAAAAAAAAAACTAAATTAAATTCTTAACAAAAAGAACCATGCTAATAAATATTATATTTTCACTGCAAAGTGTAGGTACTATACTCTAAAATATAGGTATATAGTTTATTCTTATTTTTTCTTGAAGAGGAAGAATATCTACCTATTAGCATTCTACTTATAACAATTATACAACTATACATTTTAATTATTGCTGCAGTTATCTCTGAGAAAGTGTTTAATAGTTTACCAAACGGTACGGCTCTCATTGACTACGACAAATACGCTCAAGCCCTTTGTAAGTATTGTGATCTGTACCTATATTGGTAAATGTTTTGTAAGCGACAATTTTGAACCACAAATCTAAAAACTATTATTTTTGGTTCTAAAGTAATTATGTATAGGACACTATTATAAAGGACAGTTGTGTATATTGTCAAACAGTGAAAAGTGTATATCCGATTAATAATTAATCGGAATAAATGCAATTATTGCATTTATTCCGCAGTAACGGTGACCTCGGATGTCGATTGATTTTATACTAATGATAACTGATAAGTCAATGTAGAGATGGAACCAAACGGAAAAGAACCGGTTCTTTGAATTACTCAAACCTTTATTTTTTTTAAAAAACCAAAAACCGGAACCCGGTTAAGTACAGAAAAAATATTCCATCTAAAAATCATGACATGTTGTCAAAATAACTAAATTCAGAGCCCAATCTCTGTCGACCGTGATGTGTAATATAGACAAGGTATACCTAAGGTCTATTATAACGCGACTTGATGTGGTTTTGTTTTTCATGACATCAATGGATGTTTACAACACATGCGTCAAAGGAACTAATTATTTACTTTCATACCAAAACGGAAGTGGGAATTACTATTACACTTAGAGATGTTTTTAATGAAAGACACTCAT